GCAATTCGAGTGCGGCAATAAGAAAGAGCGCATGTGAGGGTCGTACAGATCTCAGGCAGGTCGCAGCTATCTGCAATGAATGTGAATCTTTCGAATATTTCAGAATGCTTCTTATGAATGAAACGAATATATTTCAATAGCTTGGAGTGTAAATCGTAACTTAAATCGTTATTCGAGAACACTCATACCGCAAATACAAAACCAATCACAAAAAAATCAATATAAATGAATAGCTTTGAGTGATTTCTCGAATGCTGCTCACATATTTTTTAAGGTGAATGCGATACGTGGCAATCTCAGGCAGGTCTTACCAATCTGCAATGAATGTTTCAGAATGCTTCTTATGAATGAAACGAATACATTTGAATAGGTAATAGTGTGAATCATAATTTCAATCGTTATTCGAGAACACTCATACCATAAATACAAAACCAATCACAATAAATGCAATATAAATGAATAGCTTTGACTGACTTATCGAATGCTACTCACACACTTTTTAAGGTTAATGCGATACGTGAGAATCTCTGGCAGTTCTCCCCAATCTGCAATGGATGTTTCAGAACGCTTCTTATGAATGAAACGAATACATTTCATTAGCTTGGAGTGTAAATCATAACTTAAATCGCTATTCGAGAACACTCATATTGTAAATACAAAACCAATCACTAAAAAAGCAATATAAATTGAATGCTACTCACATATTTTTTAAGGTTAATGCGATGCGTGGGAATTTTATTATCACCATTGGATGTATTCAGTGTCGATCAATGAATCAATCAATACAATACTTGAATACGAGTGCCCCTATGTTATGCGCAACTTCTTCATGTTTGGATACAATTATGTTATGCATACGATGTAGGATACGATGTTCTCAAAGGGGTCTAGTTTTATTAAGTGTGAGCAATGAGGATTAACATTTCAGGATTATATTATACTGCATATAATATTATTTATGTTCAGCTTCAGGAAAAACATAAAACGCAGTAAATGCAAAAAAAAAACAATAAAAAAGATTCAACCTATCAACATTGTGGGTATATATTCAAGGCTGATTATGTGTCCACTTTTGTTCGGTTCCGAAAGAAACGAAATAAGAAAATTTCCAACAAGTACTAACGTTATCCAAAGTAGTGATTAGCTCAGAACTACCAAACATTTTAATAGCTTTTGTTACTAGCTTTTTTATTTATTTAAAGGGTATATGTTAAATAATAATGTATGTTAATGGAGCCACTTTTTGAATAGAAAAGTTCCAGAATTCAAGATAAACGGAATAGAGCTCGACTTGAACGAGCGAGTTTAAGACAACAATTTTGGACGGGTGTGGGTTTTTAAAAAAAGAAATGCTCCAAAACTAAATAAAATTTGATACAACTTTCATAGTACTATATATATAATATTCATATTCATTTATACCACATTTTACTTTCACAGAGTAGAGCAGAAAAGATCCAAATATTCATAATAAAGTATTATTTAGGAATAATTTATTTTATTATTGATATTCATAATACGCATTTAAAATGTTCACAGTAATCGAAGCTTTTCATTTTTTACATTAAAAATTTTGTATTATTAATTGTTTAATGATGATGTAAATACACAATTAAGGTTGTTAGATAGAAATTCCCACTGATTATCATCAGTGTATTTTTTCCGCAGGAGCTACAGTCAGTTGCGGTCAGAGTTTTGCAATTTTTTTTTAGGTATTGGGAAATACTATAATAGCCACGAAGTACTAGGAGTTTTGAGCTGGCAGCAAATTATAAGTTACATACAAGTATTTGTATTAAGATATTTCAAAAGAACACCAAAATCTATAGACCAAACAAGTAAATTGTTATTAAAAACTACATTTTTTAAACCCTCCAAAACTTATTGGTTATAGATATAAATATAGACCAAAGTTCATCCTAGTTTAAAAGCATATACTTTTGTTCTTTTAAATTCGTTTCAATATTTTTCGTTAAGGTAAAAAGGCGAAGATATAATCTTAACAACATTTTATGTGAATTCGAATCGAGAACTTTAGGAACTTACCAGCTGTACTCAAGCAGCACTGCATGGAAGCTGAAGAAAGAGGTCCTTTGGATGTAGCTAAATCCGATAGAAGCTCTTCAACTACATTTCCTAAATGCTAGGTTGAAACCATTGCAGTTCCCCAAAACCTTCCAAAATGAGAAACGTATGCAACATTAAAATTATGCAGCACCATAACTGGAAAGCCGATTATTGCATACTTATGTTAAATATTCGACTTAATGAAGAAATGCAATAAGAGGTGTAAGTAATTTAAAATATTAGACACGCTATTCCAGGACTGTGTCCAACAAACTAGCCACATTTGGCGCATTTGATCGATGCATCGTCAGGGCGAGAGACATAAAGAGCTGACCTGTCACCTTTGATGGGACAAAGTGAGCAAAGTCGATATAATTGTCGAAGACGCAACTGGCAACTGTTTGGGACCCGCAGAAGGTAACAAAGCAGGGGCAAGGGGTTGTGCAACAGTCGGTGACGATGATGGGTCGTTGTTCGCTTCCCCGGAGTCGAAGCAAGTCGAGCGAGCTGGCATGGGATCGGGCAAGTACCCTTGTTTGCCAGCCAGCGGGAGAGCTAAGGAAACAGTGATAAAAACAGGATCAACAACGAGAGCAGTGGCAAGCGGCGAAAGTGCATACCCTTGCGGTGCAGTGCATGCGACCCATAGCCATAGCAACAACAACAACAACAGCAGCAACAACAGCAACAACAACAACAATGGCAACCGTAACAACCCAACGTAGTCCGACTGACATCTGACTGATGAGGCCCTCAGCTTGTGTGTGTGTGTGTGAGTTTGTTTGCATATTAATGTTGTTGTCCTTTGTATCTATCTATCTACCTAGCCGTGCCCATCCCGCTCACACATGCAGAGAGAGAGAGAGAGAGAGAGCGAGAGCGAGAGAGGGAGACATAGAGCTGGCTGGAACGGATTCATTGTGCGAGTCCTAGAATTTTGATTGCGAATATGCGGATTAAGGTATTTGCGCACGTATAATTAATTGGACGGCGCTACCGTCGCGCCGCGTCGCTCGAGTTTTGCATTCCCAGGCAGACACGCGCATAAGGACATGGGTGGAGGTCGTCCTGTCCCGTCCCGTCCCGTTGCGTCCCGTTTCCCGAATGCAGATGAGCTCACTGCGCTCACAACTGGGTTGAAATGTTGCGCAAATTTTGTGGTTAGGCAACGCCACAGCTCTTGTGCAGGGAAAAACCAACAATGAAGTGCCGCGTTGTAGCTCAAAGCATTGAACATTAGTTAATGAACTTAAGTAGTTGAATGGCAATGCCAAGAGAACAGCAGCAAGAGAAAGGAACAACCTTTGCTATACATGCTTTGTGGGATCCACCCTGCCTCTCTCTTCTTGTATATTCTACACATATATCACAAAATAATATCGTTCAATTGTTTAAAAGAAAACAATATTGCTTTATTCACCGATTATGATATGATTATGATCTTGTATGATTGAAGTGATTTCTCTTTGGAGGCCCAAATTGTGCCTTCTTTTTAGAAATTTAAAAAAAAACAAGAAAGAAATGCTAAAGTCGAGCAGGCTCAACTTTTAAATACCCTGTACCACAAAAAAATTTATTAAAAAAATTTAATTAATTTAATTAAATTAATTTTTACATCAGAATCGTGTCTATGCGTGTTTGTGTACTTGTACATATGTACGTGTGCATTACATAATTATGTCAAAGCAGCGACAAATACAGCTGCGGATACTGCTTGGGCCTGCTTATATGGCTATAACTTTCTTTCTAATCAACCTATCATAATGAAACGTATACGGATGGTATACGGATATATAATCACTAACTGGATGTGACTACCAAATTTTAGTTCAAAATTCTAAGAATTACGGGAGTTATAGAAAATCGCAAATAGGGGGGAGTAAGGGGGAGTATCAGAAAAAATGAACAAACTCGTCCTTTCTCAGGCTCAGGAGAATCTGTATACCAAGTTTGGTTATTCTAGCTCTTATACTTTCTGAGATCCTTGCGATCATACAGACAGACAGACGGACAGACGGACATGGCTATATCGACTCGGCTTGTTATCCTGATCAAGAATATATATACTTTGTGGGGTCTGCCACGCCTCCTTCTGTGTGTTCCATGTACACTCGCACAAAACTAATATACCCTTTTACCCTTTGGGTACAGGGTATACAAAATTTATTTTTTGATATACTTGTATTATTGTTTTATGCGAAAGAGCACACATTCCCATTAGACGATTTCATGTCATGTCATGTGCCTCGGCTAGCTTCGTAGTAGAATCGACCAAACGGCGTCGTCGATATTCGTCTCAAGGCTTTGAATCGTTAATGGACTGTTCGCATAACATTGGTTCTTTTCCGCGCCCCACAAAAAATATTTAAAAGCGTCAAATGGCAGCTTCGAACTTAGCGAGCGAAAGATCGGTTGTGGCATGGCGCACAATCCTGCTATAATCAAAGAGCTGTCACTGTCAAAGTCAAAAGTGTCAAAAGACACTATGTGGACCCCCACCTTCCAAGCAATACAAATTAATTTTTTGATAATTCTTTTGGGGTTTTTAAAGCAGAGATTATGCAACAATATTTTCGACTGAGGTGGTCGATTAGACATACTTTGAAGTGGTAAGTGTTTAAAATTTTACAATTCTTTCACTTATTGTCAAGGGCATTAATATAGTAGCAGATCTTAAAAATGCTTCAATGCTCCATAAAAAAATAAATAAACTCGAGAGACCGCTAAAAACTTTATTTAATAGTATATAGTATGGCTGGCTGGTCTACGATATTCTTTAAAATTAATTTCCAACAGTTCTCATTAATGCATTTCCACAATTGTTTTATCATTATGCATTTCTCAACACTGTTTGCAAGTGATGGCAACTGTAAGTTGACTTTGCAAAAATTAATGTACATTGTGCAATTTAAATAATTGTAACACACTTTATCTTTGTAATATTTAGAAAATATACAGCTTTATTCGTTCAAAGGCTTGAAAAGTTAGTCCGCAAACTACACATCGGCCTTATGGACAAGTTGGTGGATGGATGGTGCACGATTGGCAAGTCGTGCAGCTCACTGGTGCCAACTAAGTATACATTATGAATTCTTCGTTTTTCCTGATCCGTTAAAAATATAAAAATTTGTTGAAACATAGTTTCGGAACACATTCTGTGGATAATTTCGTTTAATTAGCACTCAATATCTCGGAATAGTACAAATATTTCGAGTCTAACTCACCGTTTGTGTTCCAATGAAAACCGAAATAAAAATTCGTATTTCCAATATTTTGGAACATCATCTGCAGATGATTTCGTTTTGTTGAAAATAAATGCGCCCGAACAAATAACCTGAGGATCGCTTACCGCTTGAGTTTCAATCAAAACCGAAATAAAATTTGTGTTGATGGGGTCGGGGACTTGCTTCGTCATCGTTTAAGTTCGGGTTCACTGCGCAGGATAGCAATGAATCCAAAATTGAGCACAATTGCAAAAAGGAAGCCTTACCTTTAATTTGGCATGTGGAAGCCTTATCCACTTTGTTGGTCTATCTTTTGAAAAATGTCTATACTTAACAATTTTAGTTTTGCTTACGTCCAGAAGTCTCTCTGTTTGGGGATCCCCTTCGGTTTCTGATTTACAAAAGACACCCGAACGAGAGCGGCGAGGCATCGGAGCCCTTCGAGAAGCCCACGATTAGGATGAAAGGGATGAAGCCCCAGTGAAAGATTTGTACCGTGTATTTAAGAACGGTAGGAGTGTATTTCCTCAACATGGATATAATTTTTCTAATGTCAGCCATTTCGGCACACAAATATTTATGAAAAACCAAAATTATTCGAAAACAGAAAAAAGTAAGGAAAATTTACGTGTTTACTGAACGATGTCGTTTGTTATAATGAGAAAATCTGTTCAATGTTTGAAAGGTGCCCGCACCCATAAAAGCAAAGCCTGCTACTTGGCTTACTCGAAATTTCAAAATAATTTCGCTTCGAGTCAATTCGGCATAGCATAGCCAGCTTGGAAACCCTACCTCTAGGATATTCGATGAATTTTTGGCAAGGTGGAATGTGTTTCATCTTCGCACAAAGAGTGCGAATAGTTTGGTTAGACGGCCGACTATTCGCCTTACTTGCGCCCAGAATTTCGAATATGCGTGGATAAAGCGCGAAATAAGTGCCAATTGGGCAGAATTTATGCCATAAAGGTCCCGCATGCAGGCAATAGAAATGTGAAGAGTGTGGGCTTTCTTTTGGCATTGAGGTGCACAGTGGGAAATGAAGTGTGTAACAGAATATTATGAAAGAAAATCTCTAGGTAGAAGGGACAGGGACAGGGAAAACGTTGTGCAATAAAACAATATTTCATTCCAATTCGTTTATCTACTTTCGTTTCTGTTAATATTTGTGGTCTATAATTCATTCAGTATTCACGACATTACATACGTCGAGAATTTAGGATGTTTTAGGATTTCTATGTTATATAATCCAATTTATTCTTATGAAATTAGTTCACATAAATCCATACAGTGGCTACTTTTCAGTAGGTCTGTTGAGATAATATAAAAATAGAAGGTGACCAAACTATCACCTTCATCATTATCGTCTACAAAATACAAATAAATATAATACAGTAGAAGGAGACTTTTATGACCATGGCCATCAATGGATTAGATTAATAGATTAGATTGTTAGATTCGATTAATAGATGAAATAAATATAATTTATATTGAATTAATACATTTGATTAATACATGTGACCAATAGACTTGATTAATTTATGAGATGATTAAGAATTTCGATTAGATTAATAAATTAGATTAATTGATTAGTATAATAGTTGAGCTTAATAGATAAGTTACATATACTGATTTAATAGATTAGATTAATAGATTTTAATAGACTACTTGTAGATTAATAAATGAGTTGAATAGATTAGAATAATAGATATGTTAAATAGATTGGATTAATAGATGTGAAGTGATTAGACTAAAAAATGTATGAATAAATTAGTTTAATAGATAAGTTAAATAGACTGGTTTAATATATTAAAACAATAATTCTGTTTAATAAACTATATTAATAAATGAGATGAATAGATTGGATTAATAGATAAGATTAATATATTGATTAGCTTAATAGATGGCAAGGGAGGGAGACCAACATTTTAAGTACATACATTTATTTACAAGTATAAGATATTAAACTATTTATATGAAACAGTCTTGTGTTAAAGCTTCAACTACAGCTTAAGAATGCGAAATGCGTGGTTAAATATAGAGACTATTTATGTGGAACGGCACCACTGTGCAGTGCAACAACAAGAACAATAACAACAATTCACCTATTGCCAACTTCATATACATCGACATGCCCATCATGCTGCCCCAGAGGCGTGTAGGTGGTTAGATATTTTTGGGTGGCTGGCATGCGTTTGTTTGCTTGTTTGGCATTCTGGCTGCCCCTTTCCCACCCACATACAACTACAAGTATATGTATGTACAACCCCAACACACACGCACACATACATATGTAGAAGAGATGTGGCGAAACACCCCCGATTCGCGATGGCCACAAAAGACATCATGGCTGCCGACAAGCCCAGCGTCCTGCCTTGCGTCCTCACGTAGTCATCATCCGCATCGGTGCGGGCACTAACGCTTCACTGGATACTTACTGTGAAAGTAGACCCATTCACACACACACACACACACACACACACACACACACACACACGCACATAATCTGCATGTGTGCTTGTGTGATGGCAAATATAAGCAGTCAAGTAACCACCCACCCGTACCGCGTGTGTGGGACTCGCAGCGCGTACACGTATGTGGCGAATTGTGGTGGCCATGTGTGGGAGGGTGTGTTGTGTATGTGTGTGTGTGTGTGTGTGTGTGTGTGTGTGGCCACGGCCAGCAGCCATCGTTCCCAACGCCATTTGCAAGTCAGTAGCAACGACAGCAGCAGCCACAGTCAGCCACAGTCAGCCACAGCCACAGCGACAGCCACAGCCAAAGCCAAAGCAGTAAAAGCAACGATGGAAGTCATGTTGAAATTTTAATTCCTCGCCGACTCAATTTGGCTTGCCCGTCGTTCCATCCTTGCCTCATTGTTGTTGCTGTTGTTGTTGCCGGGCGCTCTGTCTGGCTGGCACTCCACGTCGGTCCTCATGTGTGTGTAGGAACTGTTTCTTTTCTCTCACACATGTGTGTCTGTTTCTGTGAGAGAAGAGAATGGGTTTTGATGGGGGTTGGAGCTGTCCCCTCCACCCTCCACCCTCCCCTCTCGCATGCTCATTCGTTCGGTCGGCTAGTCGGTCGGTTGGTCTGTCGGTCGGTCGGTCGGTCGGTCTGTCGGTTGGTTGCTTGGATGGACGGTTCGCCTTCGCCAGCGCCTCGCACATGTGGAAATGGCAATGACTGCCTTTCTCTGTTTATTCCAAATGAACTTGTACATATGTATGGGTGTGCGTGTGTGTGTGTGTGTGTGTGTGTGGAGAGAGGGAGGTAGAAGAAAAGGCAGTTAGTCTTTGGTGATTTTGCTGCCACCGCTGCTGTTGCTGCCGTTGCTGACGTCACCGCAGCTACTACGTTGGCCAGGTGGCGTCGTCTGGGCTTTGGGCTCTCTCTGTGGGCCAAGCATCCTGCGAATTGAATCGCATACACATACATATATACATAAATATGTAGATAGATATATATAGATATATATATATATATATATATATATATATATATATATATATATATATATATATATATATATATATATATATATATATATATATATATATATATATATATATATATATATATACACATATATGTATACACATGTGTGGGAAATGGGATGTGGGATGCGGGGGGATGTTGAATTGGGTTCGTGGAGTATGTGAGTGGAAGCGACAGGAATCGCTGTCGTTAGACTGCGGTCGCATGTCTGTTACGCTTGTGAATGCTGCGGTTAGCGAAGGACCCAACTAGGACAAAAGAGCAATACTATTCACACACACACACACACATTTATGCTGTACATAAGGCTGTCATATGTGTTAGTGGGTGTGTGTGTATGCCCGCCCCAAAAGCCCACAGCAGAACAGAAATGAAACACCGCAAAGCGTGTTGGTTGACATGTGATTGAGGACGACGTTTATGTGCAGCGACATATATGCATGCATACACACACACGCACATATATCACACACGCATACACACACACACACACACACCTACACACACACAGCCATGGGTTAGTTAGTTCGTTAGCATTTATGCACTCTTTTGTATGCACATCTCCTGCCCATGTTTATGAACTTGTTAGTGCAAAAAAAAAAAAAAAAAAAAAAAAAAACGCTGAAGGTAATAAATCTCAACGTGACTCAGAAGAGTGGCCAAAGAGTTTTGTCCTTTGTCCTCCTCCTCCTCCTCCGCCCTCTCTTTTAACGTGTGTGTGTGTGGGTGTGTGTGTGCCACATAAATAAAATGCTATTCATTCACTTGTGCGCGTTTTATATTCAGTTTATTGGCGCTGCAAAATGTCATTAGCATTTGCAAAAAAGTACGTGGATATGGCTACGCAGACAACTCCAATGGCAGCACAAACACATACAAGTACATATGTTCATACGCGGGGTAAGCCAAAGGACATTCTGGGCATTAGCTGAAATTTGATTTAGGAATGGATGAGCAAATTTGGTGTGATACTCGTAGAGCCAACAATATTTGAATGTTTACGATGCCTTTTAGGGATCGTTCTCAACTAGATTATCTTAATTTTAAGCTCTGTTCAGACGGGCAAATAATTTGCCCACCAATTTTACGAATTATGAAATGTCAATATTTAACTATTTTAGATATTCTTTGTGAACAGTTATCGCAAGTTGTGATACTTAATTTTTAACTTTAAGCTGTGGTCACACAGGCCAATAATTTGCTCACAAATCATATTTTTTCAAATGACAGAAGTATCCCGTGCACATGTTTATACGTTAATTAAAACGAACAAGAGTTCTTTACTAAACTATGGTGTTTTGCTGCAAGAAAACTTTTGGGTACTTTGAAAAGCCCCCTTTTAAAAATATCTATAAATTTGTTGGCAAATAATTTGCATGTCTGACCGGGCCTTTAAATTTGAAACACATCCCTTAATTTTTATTGTAAGTATTAAAAGAACTTACGATATTACGATATTGCCAATAACTTTTTAATCTGGATATATTGGTGAGAAAACAACGGAATTCCAACATTCCCTGTTCAGAGATGAAATATACTTATTACAGATATTTGCATCTGATTTTGGATGCACGGCACAATCTCTTTGCAGGAAGAGGTTTGCTATATTGGGGCAAACATATTTACCAAAAAGTGTTTAGCATGCATTTAAGAAATATACAGCTATTTTCTGATAATTGTTGTTTATGGCCAGGTCATTAGGTCAGGAAATATTTTCAATGATTTTCATTTATAGCCGAGTTTATTTCAAAGGTCACTTTTTTAATATGGCAATAATCAAAATGCTATTATTGGAATTACAATTTGGTTTCTTTTTGCCGTTTCTTTTGAATGAAGAGCTGATTAGTTTTATCTAATAGCCATTATCTTTACCTCATCTCTCCTAAAACCTCCTTTTTACACATCATTTTCAATATCATCTTCAACATCATCTTTAACATAATCTTCAACATCATCTTCAACATCATCTATAACATCATCTTCAACATCAACATCTTTGACTTATGAGATCAAAAGTTATTGTAGAACTATATACATTTGGCATCAACGAAGGGTCCACTTCAAAGTCATAAGCTGCTTTGGGTTTTACATGAAAGGTTAAAG